ATCCCGTGGCGGCTAATGAGCGGCTGGAATGTCAAGCTGGAATGTTAATCGGCCGGAATTCATCAATCACTCGAACGAGAGAAAATGTGGAACGACGTGATTTACGAAAACTAAATCAGATACGTAGAACGCGGAGAACGGATATAAATCATAATTAGACCGGCCGGCAAAAAGTCGCGGGATCCCGATATATCGTTTCCATCTCGTTGTTTCGACCCTTCCCCCTCCCGCCTCTCCTCCGCCCCCCTCCTATCCTCCCAAGAAATCAGCAATTATCACCTCGGAGATGAGAAATAATAATTCGTGAAATATCGCTTATTTATACTCGCTCCCCCTTCGATATTTAAATCGGATACTTTTTAATTAAGTGTTGAAAGTCAATTCTAGAATTCCATTCTATCTTCTAAAAATCTTCTAAAAATTCTTCTCCTCGATGACGAAGTAACGAGATGTTCGGTTCGTTCGGAGAGTAATTTCGTTTTTTCGCACGAGCGTCGCTACGGTCGAACGTTCATCCAGCCAACTTCATTCCAAACCGTGTCGTCGTCGTTACGCGTATTCCGACAGTCGGAATTCGTTTGATTCCTTTCGATCGCGTTTTACTATTTTATTTTTACCGAAAAGAAGAAGAGGTAGTGGAAGTTGACGAAGACGAAATAAAGCAAACGACTCGACAAATTTACCAGTGAAAGATCGTCGAATTCGAAAATCGACGAACTTTGACACTCTTCTCTCTCGAAAGAAAAATATAATAATATTGAACACAACTGAGGCGACCAAGTATCGCGCGTTCGGTCGGCAATTGAAGCAGCGTGAAGCAATATCCTCCCATCGAAGAGCAAGAAACGAGCTGGAGGGGGCAAGGTGTCGCTCGCTTGGGCGAGATGATTGACAAGTATGCAATTCTGGGTGAGGCAAAGGACGCGGCAGAGCGAAAAGTAGCGAAGCTATTCTGCTGCGGTTGGTGTTTCCTCCTCCTCCTCCTCCTCCTCCTCCTCCCTCGCCGCTGCTGCTCGA